TTCTGAAATGTCATTATTTGTAGTTGAAAATAATTGACTTCTGGTTTTAAGAGCCTGTATTCTCAAACTTATTGAATGTATTAATATAAGGTTATTACGAGAATACCTCAAAGTATGCACAAAGACAGTACAGCTGGAGTATCGACCAACGCGTGGCGTACTGTCTGAGTGCATACTTTGAGGTATTCTCGTATTAACCTTATTATTATATATATTTTCAATCCAAGGATACATCATGGGAATGCCGAAATCCGAAAAGTTTAGAATAAAATCAGCAAACTTCTTTGTGTGGAGTCTTGTCAAACCCCGATGGCAGCCATGTTTGTTTTTATTATTAGAGGACGCTTGCGTGCGTAATCATTCCCTTATATGGTAGGATGGAAATACCCCGTAAAATACCTCAAAATTACGGCACGCTGTAACATATGGTGTTACGGTGACAGATGTATAATAATAGGTTATATGTGTACATCATTATGATTCAAATTCAGTCTGCCAGTGGACATTATATTTCAGAAAATACACGTGTTCAAGCTTTGTCTTTGAACATTCAAGGTCTCTTCTGTACAGATACATAGTCTCATCAAAGATGGTAGAATGGTGCCCATTTTGTTATAAATTCTCAGGTTCAATGCACCTTTCCAAGTTGCAACTTATATCGTAATATATTGTAGTTCCATCTATAAGATTGAAGGATTGTATCTGAATGATGTGTATGTTGCTTGTATGCCACAAGTCTACACAGTTAGGTACTTGTATATGATGAATGTCAATGTTTCCTTACAGGATATCCACACTGCTATAGTGCCCCTATTACTTGATATCCAACAGAATATGCACAAACTACCAATACCATATTCATGTGCTAAATGTCGTCAACAGCTCTATCGTGTAATATTATCCTGTATGCTTTCACCTCATCCAAGATGGCCACCTCCGCTGCACTATGCAATCAGAGTGTTCAGTTGTGGACTACAAGATCCAAATATCGAGGTGAGATGCACAAAATGTAAGGTCTGATTCCTTTTCTTGAATTTACTTTTCAATTTATAAGCTAATCTAAATATTTATAAAATGTTTCAGGTTTCTAGTTTTTGTCGAGAAGCCCAGTTGGTCTGTAATTCTATCATTCATCCACGTGTACCAAGTTTGTGCTTGCCACTAACACTTGCGGATTTACCACCAGTGCAGAGTGATACAACAAGTAACCAGGTCCATAAAAATACAGAACAGGTTGTGCCAAGCATGGTAACTTTATCAGCTATGGGAGATATGCCAGGAAAGAAAGGCGAGGGTGATCCTGAACCTCTACTGGTCCATGAGGATGTTACTCATGCAGAAGTGCAGAATGAATATCAGAAGACAGAAGAAGCGAGTCTTGTTACTATGGCAATAGAAGCTGAAGCAAGTGATGATGACAAGGAAGATAAAGACGTGAAAGATGAAGACAGTTCGAATTGTGAGGAGGAGGAGGAAGAAGTGGAAGAGAATACAAACAAAGCGACAAAAAGAAAACACAATGCAGAAGAATATGTGAAAGATGAACCAGACGCCAAAAAAGTAGGTATTTTTTTCACTAAATTAGTTTCCATTTAATGCAGCTCTCTTTTTCTATATATGCCCATTAAGACAGTACATTATATTTGGTAATCATAGATAATATAGAAGAAAACATATAAATTAATCGGTCTGAAAAGCTTTTATTTACCATGAAGACAGGTTATTGTCATGCTCCTTGAAAACTATAATACAGAGTAAATGAAATAAGTAGTAGTATGTCACTTGATTGATACAAGTCTTTTTGATTCACAAAAATACAACACAATATATGTACTGGGGTACATTCTAGTGCCATGAATGTAGATAAACACTGTTCAATATGTATCCTATGTCAATGTATACAACTCAAGTAACAGTACAATTTGTTTATACATGAAATTCAGACATGTTCTGTGCAAAGAATGTGTCACTTCAAAGCTTTTATAATGTGAAATGCATTTCTTGTCACTACAGGTAATGGATAGCTATAAAATTCCTGCCATTTCTTGTGAAAAAGAAGAGCTGCATATGGAAGATGAAAAGGATGGATCTGATACAGAAGCAATGTTAGCAACCTTTGTAGATGCATCTCCTGACTCTGAGTAGATGAAAATGTCAGAAAACTAAATGGAATCAGTTACTTGAATAAAAGGAAATAAATGTTGGCAAATTCTCATTTGGGTATTTGGTGTCAGAATTATCCACTCCTGTATTTGCATAATCACTATTTTTCCCCCCAAGTCATGTGATAGAGTGTTTATTTTACATATAAAGTGACCAATTGCTATCTAACAAGTTATAAATCTTCAAAATTACAACTGTTATTTGATTGGACTACAAGTCCAGCTGGACTCTACTGTCTATTGCTATTGACTATGGTGTGTCATTAGGGCCATAATTATGTTGAGTGGTGAACATTTATTACCCTTAACCATCAGCAATTTTTAAATTATCATATTTTAACATAGCAAGTTGGTGCTACTCTCCTGGACATGTATGGAAATAGAAACCTTTGACTTCATACGGAAGAAATAGCCAAACAATGTACATGTTCTTTGGGCACAGTGGGTCAAACATATTACGATACTTCATGGTGGTAAAAATAATCTAATTTGCCGTGGGGTTTACCGCTCAATTTCGCCTAATATCCATTGATTTATTACAGCGACTCAAATACGTGCATAACCTATATAGGAAAGGTTTTGGCTTGTACTTACCCAAGCTGAATGAGGGAATAATATGTACCGGTAAATGTGTATATCTGTAGATAGCTCATCAAGTTTACACAGTAAGGATAGGAATAGTGATAAGTTAATTTGATCAGCTTATTGAAGTAGAGGATATGCCGTACTGTTAAAATATATTCCTGCCTGACTAACGTAGTAAATTTTAATCAAGGAGACAGAAGTGCAAATTAAAGCTCAAACAATACTGGAAAAAGCCCATCAGACCACAGATAAGTGTAAATTGAAGTACAGATTCACTATTACATTAAGTCTTTATATTTGTAATCTACAATTACAGTCACATACATTTTTGCAAAGTTCCACCGTAATTCTTTAATTGATGGTAGTGACATGCAAAGACATCATGCTGTTATTGTGATGCGACCTAACATTTTCTGTTGATCAGTCAAGTGACAAAAGTACAACATTGCACATTTATACAATATTAGATAACATACTCAATACAAATTTTACATTAATAGAGTGGAGTTAAAGAGTGTCATCTTACACTTAACCAGGCATAATGTTTCCAAATAAAATGACTACAATTTTCAGAAACGCTTTTGGAAACATTTTATGCAATGGTTAAAGCTACTCCTAGTTTAATTTGGTGACATCATTGTAAACTTGCTGCTGTCAATGGGGGGAAAAAACACTTCTTAATAAATATCAGGCTCCCACAGATTATGCTGGACATCAAACAAATGAAATATATTTACTAAGAATAAACACAATGCAATAAAGCCTTGCAACTCCATGTCTGTAAAAATAGTACAGGCCGCACCTTTTAAGTGTTGAAAAGCCATTTTACCATGGCACTGCTTAGTTTACCCCCAGCTTCCTGAATTATAATACCGGTAGTAATAAATATTCACCATAATTTAAGGTGTAAAAATTTTAATTATGGTCCTAATGACATGTTCTAACAGGACCACCAGTATATCAAAATAGACGAAACAGGATGACCCATTGGGGGGGGGGGGGGGGTGAAACATTGAAACCGGTTTTGGTATTTACTTTTTCCATAATACATTTTATGATTGCTTAACTCCACCCCCAGTCAATCAGTTTCACATTGAATGAGCTTGTAAAGTTAAAAGAATTTTAATTTTATCATTGTGGTACAGATATGCCGTGAAACTTGAAATTATAATGTTGCTCTATTTAGAGAAAAGGTCCAGGAATGCAAGACTTAACAGTTTTTTCATGACTATACATGTATCTACCATGTTGATCCACAGCTGTACAACTTGAGAATTTTGATATACCATATGAAAATATAGTCAATTTTTTGTTATGTAGGTACTAGTACCTAACAGATGATTTATTAACGTGAACTTTATGAACTGACTAAACAGTGCCAATACAAAATCATGTTCAAAATTATTAAATACAAAAATGTGTAAATTATTCTTATGGCAGTGTAAATTGCAGTCTAGTATCAATAAATTCTGCTTACAGGAGACAAACTACAGCTTTGTATTTACTTGAGGTATTTATAAAATAAATGCTTCTGCAAACACAAGAGCCTCTAACATTTATGACAAGTCATCAAATGGGTATTGAGCACACACATCAGAAAGTGCCAACAAATACTGCATTAAAATAAGAGCCATGGAGATTCCTTGTGGTGGACGTACACATTGATATATAAGTTGGGATTGGAGAAATAAAATGCCCGTTAACAATCCAATAGAATATACTCTTTTACCACCATGCCCTGTGCATACTCAATTTCAACAATTAAGTGATTAATGACCACTTGTGCAGATCCTGTCTTAGAACTCAGAATTAACAATTCATGAGAAGGCCCAAAGTTCTGCTGATACTTTTATCAGTATCAGTACTTATTTGTATGTACACAGTTAAGAAACACACTGGTCAACTTATATTAGATTTAATGAGTGTTTCCCTAGGACAAGATCTGGCAACATGTACAGCCTTGCTTCACTGTTAAAATAAGGATTCCAGACTATTTAAGTGTCAAGCTAGTAGTTTGTTATTTTCCAGAATGATAATAGTAAATTCAATATGTCAGAATACTAATGGGCCCTGTCTATGGTTGTCATTTTCCTCCATATATGAACATAAAACATATACAAATAGGTAAAGTGTTCTAATTTCACCCAGGCATGGGAAGAACTTTATAATTTCACATGACTATTGTATTTCAGTTATAAATATGCACTTTATATCATTATACAGACTTGATGCATTGTCCATTCAATAACATTGGATCATGTCACAAGAAACTACAGTGGAGAAAGATTCTCACAACTCTTCACACTGCACTTGTATATACTGGTATATATATATATATATATATATATATATATATATATATTTTAAAAAATTGAAAAAAAGTTTAACAAAATTATTGGTAGGTTATGGAAAGCAATATCTGATCAAATGTCACAATTTGATGGACAAAATCATACCACAAGCTCTGCTCAGTCTTCTTTAACAACTGCAAATGTGAATACAATTATGAAGTAAAGTATTGTATTACTGAAAAAACCTTGACTCGTACGCAAATGTTTTACTGACCATTCTTGAGGTATCTGTGGAACAGACAATCAGGCTGTTCCAATAAGTACAGCAAATACCAGTACATTTATGTCTGCCTAAAAATGAGTTGCTTTTTTCATAGCAAATGTCTCTAACATGTAAATGTCAAAATAATCAAGGTGTCCTATGACCAATACATAAAATATATATACAAAATGACCTATAAATGAAACAATTTCATTAAAATACCTTTGATAAATTAAGAAGTGGAAATTGAATATCAGCATGCTAGATACTGATAAGTGCATGTTGAATTTTTTTTTAAGAGTTGCTTTACAATGCAAATATCACTCTAAAGAACTCAACATATAACTTATGTCCTTCATTTTCATAAATATTATCAGGAAATATGCATGCAATCTATGAATTGTTCTAGATCTATCTTTAAATAGTAAAAGGGTAAGAAGTATGCAAGAGCTTTCATGTGACATCCAATCCAGGATCAGAACTTGGGCTCCTAGTTTTTTTTCTCAACATGTAAGCATTTTGAGATCCCCTTGTTCTGTTAACTTGATTTCTTTCACTCCTCTGTTCAGTATCAAACTTCTGTTGTAATTTCAAAGCCAACTGAAAGTCAATTTCCTCCTGTGAGAGCTTCCTGGTTTTATTTGGATTAGCAAATTCATCAATAGCTCCTCTGTGGCATGTTTTTATTTTCTTGTTACGACTACTTTTTCGGTCACCGCTTAGCTGCCTCTTGCTTTGATTATTGGCATTAGTTGAGTTATGTAATGGCTGAGGTTCTCTCTGTTCATGTGTTATAATATCGTGATTAAGTACACTCTCATTTTCACGACTAAATCTACACTTTCTGGGAGTACTACAGCTTCCCTCTACTGATAAATCTAGTTTGGAAGTACATGGTTCAGAAACAGTGTTTAGTTTAGAGACCATCTCAATCTGATTGTTGCTAGAACGAGTTTTCCCAGATGTAACATGCTCAGTAATGATTGCAGTTTGTTTTGATATTTTTTTAGGTCTTCCTCTTTTTCTAGGGGTGTTGTGATTTTTGTCTGTACTATTATCACTGTGTTCTTTCACAAATATTTCAGACACATGTTTCTCAGCATTGTCTTCAAGCATACTTGCTTCTTTTGTTGAGCAAATTGAGTTCAGATTTGGTTCTGTAGATACGTCACAATGTTGAGCCATTTTATCATTTACTTTGTTGCTACTGTATTCAATGCCTAAAGGCTCATTGACACTTTTACTTTTAAAGCTATCTCCAACAAACATGTCCTTAATAGTTCTTGCCTTGGATTTTCTGGTTTCTTTCCTAGGCATACAACAATTAGTAGGTAACTGTTTATTCGAGGTATGTCTGATATCAACATCAACATTTCCTGATTTGTCAAGCGTTCTGTTACGATTACCAACTGCCACTTTGAAATTTACAGAACTTTCACTGTCTGTCTGTGACTGTAATACAGGCATTTCAAACCCAAGTTTGTTTTGATTTGGAGAAATGCTTTGCTGTGGCACAAGAACGGGTGGGAGTTGAAAGGGATCACATTCCATTTTTAAATTAGAACGATTGAATGCTTTAGCACGTTTGTCATTATGTTTAGCTTTCTTTGAAGGGGTCTCACTTGAATGCTCACTGGATGAAATTGTTGCTGATGCTTTATTTTTCTTTGCAGTTTGTCTTTCAACTAGATTTGGTATGATAGCAGTCCCTTCTTTTTTGAATACATTAACAGTGTGAGGAGATATCCTAGAAAATTCTAGGTTTGTCATGGTGGCTTTGGATTGGTTTTCCACTTGTCTTTTTCTTTCCTCCGTCAAACTCAGCCATCTGGCCATCACTAAAGGTGAACTTTGTAGCCAGTCATTGTCATCATTACTGTTAAATCTGGTTTTATTAAGATTCAGGGGAGTACTGTAAACAATGACAGGCTGCTGTAATTTGCCATTTGACAGTCTCTTTGGTGGGGTTCTAGGTGATACATGGATTGGCTTAAAATGATTCATTTCTGGGGATATACTGTCAATACTTGTGTTACTACTCCTTCCACACACATTAACAGGAGTAAGTTTCCCTTGTTCCACATTTTGAACTGACATACCACTGTTAGATGTCATTTCACTTGAACTTCTGTAAGGCACTGGCTCACTCATACACTCAACCAATATGCATGATTCTGGACTTGTTATATCAGATGAGGTGCTTCTACTTGGTTGAGATTTAGAAAAAAATTCAGCTATACTGGGAGAACTTTCTGGTCTATTTTTCTTCCCTCCACTGGCAGACCGCTTCTTAGATGTCCCATGAACTCCAGGAGACTATATGGGGAAAAGTACAAAACCAAATATTGAAGATATAGTTGCTATACATATGCCACAAAGAAGCTCCTACCTTATGACTAGTTTAGAATACAACACATCTTGGAAAAAAGTGGGATTCTAGGTGATAAATCCTGAGAGCACTCAAGATGCACTTATTATGAAATCTTCACCAAGAATACCAATTATTCCCATATTGTGATGGGATTAAAAGAATATTTATCCAGAATTTTTTCTCAAACATGCCTTGACAGAGCATAAAGTTCTACATATGCATGTTGATTTGGTTTTGGTTTTGATAATATCTGACCAACTGCTGGCAATTTTTTCCTTCCAAAATTTTTAACATTTTATCACCATTGCTTAGGCATGGCCAATTTAATTCAAACTTCACACATGAGTGATTTGATTTAAAATAGCCAACTGGCATTTATATAGATTTTATTTTCATGTGTCCTTAAACCATTTCTCAAACTAGTTTTTGTTGTCTTTACTCAGTGGGTCACATCATAATTTATTTTCAAAATTTGATTCAAACTAGCCACTTTCGCACTTGTGTGTTCTACACCAGTTCTCAGATACATTTACATCTATTTAGTTTAAATTTTGTATCAAGGCAAGACATAATGTTGTGAATATTCATCTCAACTGCTTTGGGGTTTTGATGAAATTTAACTGGCCGATGGCCATTTTTGTCCCAAAAAAAACAACCTATTATCACAATGTCAAGTATTTTTCATGCCTAGCTGAATTTTAAATGTGGTGCGAAAAACATACATGATTTTATATAAGGATTATACTGAAAACCCCCAAACAAATAATTATAATCTACTACATATTTCATTGACAATGAGATTGAAACACAATTTTAACTACAATTTAGAGCTTTCTCAGGTGAGCCTTCGTGCAGGTTGCTTGTAGGTTGCGACTCACTCGGTTAAGGTAGAAACAGAGGTAAAACATGTTAAACATTATTCTTTGATACAGACTTTCTCTAAAAGTTATTAAGCATACTACCAAAAACCTATACATCATCTGAAAGCTTAGAAACAGGCGAATACGGTAGTACTATACAAATTAGGGGTCGAAATTAAGGACTGTCCACATGTCCCACACAGGCAGATTTTAGCTGTGACAGGTAAATAAAAAAAATTACCTGACCCTGTGGGACCTATGAATGAAGATATCAAAATGTTACTAACTGACTAAATTAGGCAGTTCCATGTTAGTGTCTGGAAAAATACTTTCAGAAACTTATGAAAAGATGATCAGCCAAGAATTATCATTTTATTTACTGCATACAATTGTGAACAAGACTAGATATTACGGCGTAAATTTGGTTTTATAACACTTACATGTACTTCATCAAGTTCATTTTGCAGCTTTTTAGCCAATTCTTCATCTCCCACTGGTACATAGGTATCATTAATTTCATCATTAAGTCTCTTGGCTAACTCTTCATCAGTAACAACTATTTGTTCTGGCTCAAATAAGACATCGTCATCCTACAAATGAAATTGGTACAGATAACAAATATAAGAAAAATTGCATGAAAATCATACCAGTTTTTGCCAGCAAGCAATTTCAGGGTGTAAATAAATTTATTATACGTCTGCACATGTTATTATAGTTAATATAGCAATGACATCCAAACACAGTAACTATATTTGGTTTGTTTGTGCGAAAATGGTAGGGCAACTATCTAACAGCAAATAAATACCCTGGCTAGAGGAATGAATTTCCAATCCAACAAAAAAATGGGTTTAATAATCCTGAGAGTGAAAAGTCAGGATTTTAATTCTATTGAGGACCAAAGATATAAGTAGTGTTCACACTACACAAAGTACGGGCTAAGATTTAAACTAATCTTGTATGTTTGTGAATCGGATAGACCAAAATGCACACAGGAGGAAACAGTCGCTAACACTGGGTTAAAGTGTAACTGAATTGGGACAATTGACTTTCTTTGTGTGCAAAATTTATTTATAAACAACATTATGAAAAAAAAACAAGTGAAAAATGTACATAAATTAAATAAACGATCAATAATAATGTTCTGGATAAGGAAACGCCCACGTCCAATTTCTTGGCCGACTCAGAACGAGGCTTCAGCTAGAGTACCTAATTAGCATGCAAGGGTGATTTGTGACGTCACGGGGGGAACTTGTCATCGTTTCACAATGGCCGCTATATGCATGCAGTGCTCGGAAAGCGACACTTATCATCGTCTGACGAGAGTTATGAGATCGAGGAATATGATGACAACGAGAGATGTCACGATTTTGTTTTACAGTGCCAGGGACAAAGTGGCCCATACAGGTTTGAACCTGCGAGAAAATACGCGATGTGGGTGATAGTGTACCTTACCAAAATGACCATGACGATTCAGGCACCCGGTTAAGGCACAGGCACAGAGTTTAAACATCGTGACCGAAAATCTTAACGTTGTTATTTTTATTAAACTCCACCTGAACAATGTATCAATAATGTTAGAAAATCTGCACTCTAAAATGTAAATTTGTGTGCGACTGGTAGGACGCGAATACCTACAACTGCAGATCGAAACAAATGAAATTGTACTGATAAATGATTCGGGCGTAAATGATACGTACTGATAAATGATTCGGGCACTGCAGATAACGTTATGAGGAGAAGGTCCATTCCAATATTTCCTGGTGTTCTTGACGGCTTTGGTCCACTGAAGCCGTAAATTCGAATTATTGTTGTTCCCCCCCCCCCCACCCCCAAGGAGAAGACAAGCCGAAGGACCATAAAAGTATAATACTAGTATTACACGTATTTGTGTATTTGTCAATTTTGCATATATTTGGTATATACATGTTCGTATATATCTAGAAAAATCTTGTCTTTCGTTAATAATTTCATTTGTTTGAAAGGTCCACCGACCGTGTCCCAATAATTTGTTTGGAATATCGATCCCTGTTGGTTTCTCCAAACGGTCCCGACGTCCGCCATTCAACACAATCAGCATTTATTTATAGCAATTCACCGGGATCATGTTCCGTAATTTGCTGTAAAACCAAATAATGAAACAAGTACTATTTATTATATATATTTTTACCTCTCGAA